GTTTTGCTGCCCCCCCTCCTTACTTCACCAAGAATGGAGAATTCTACCATTTCATGGTCGCTAAGCCCAAGACGGCCTCCGACCACCACATCTCCCACCAGTCCTTCTCTGTTAGTAAACAGCAGGTCGTGCGAGGCACCTCCCCTGGTAGGCTCTTCTTATATGTGTTCTAAGGACATAAGTATTAGTTTAAAAGGATGATGGAGATGTAAATGCTTATTATCTCCTTAGAAAAGGTGGTGTCTGATAGATCACCTAAGATTGCTTCTTATCCCAAACATGTCTTGGAACAGATGAGGACCCCAAGGAAGATAGGCAGTGTCCACTAGGACAGACTCTGCTAAAGAAGTACCACCTGATCTTTAAAAGGACAGCAAAAACTCACTTGAAGGAGAAGGGTCCTATAGAGCCCAGATTAGAAAAAAGTAAGCAAATGAAGAAAAAATTGCTCTTCAGGAATTGCTGTAGTTTCACTGACAGTGCTTGCACAAAACTTATCCTGAATGTTTGCTCCTGCTCTGGTATTACCAAATCCATGTGTTGGGCTCAAAGCTGGTTTTGTGTGCAGCTCTGTAGTTCTAATCCATGTTGCTTCTCTTATCTCTGTCTTGTGGAGCCTTACCAATGTTCATGCGTGCGCTGGGAAGAAGGCAACACAGTGATGGGGAATACACAGACTGGAAAACAGGAAGAACATAGCAGAACTGCTTCTGTTCTGCAGCGGTGTCTATTCTGGCAGAAGTGATAAAATACGTCAGTCGGTAAGGGCAACAAAAACCAAGAAGAACCTGGATAAAACCTGAGAGCTGAGCCCAAGACATAAAGGAAAAAATTTGCATAGGAATTTCCCATAACTTAAATATCTGAAAAGGGAAACACTGGAGTGAGTGAGTCCTCCAACTGATTGAGTTGCAGAGCTTCAGCAAGGTCAGTGATGTCAGCAAGGGTCTGCAGGAGATGGGACAGGCTAGCTGCAGTAGTATCCCATGTTACAAGGAGACACACTAAGTGACTATATGCTGCTGGAACAGATTTGTAGACCTGGTGGTCTCTTTTCTGCATCTGCACTTATTGTGCACTATGAGTGGGGTAGGTGTTGTTATCCTAATCCAAAATTTTTGTCTCTCTTTGTAGGTCACCATTTCAAAGCTCATAAGGCTGTTCTTGCTGCCTGTAGCCAGTTCTTCTACAAATTCTTCCAAGATTTCACTCAGGAGCCCTTGGTGGAGATTGAAGGTAATCTGATTTGTGCAAATAAAAACCTTCAGAGTTGTGTGCCCAAGCTGGAAATAAATGTAGTATCCTTGGTACAGTCCTACATATGTGCTTGGTCATATCAATTAGCTTTCTAGATCTCAGCTCTTGAGTTGTTCTGAGGCAGCTACCACTGGGAAAAAACTTCCCCTGAAGAAAAATTAAAAAGAAAAAGAACAGTCTTGAATTAAATCTTTTGGAAGGGGACGTGTGAGGTTCTGTGGGTGTCTTTCCCTTTTTTTTCTTCCCCCAATACATGGCTAATGGAGGTCAGGCCGACCCCGTATGTTTTTAGAACTAGCTGTGTGACATGTAATCTTTTCCCTGACAACAGCCATTCTGGTCAGATGAAAAAGGCTGCCAGTGACAGCCAATGGCAGATGTCTTGGCTTGGACGGAAGAACAGGACAGATGCGGAGCAATACTTGCCTGGTAGGCAGTGAGCAAATTCCTGGAGCAGTATTTCAGCCTCCACTAACTTGCTGCTCAGAGGTCTCTTGAGAGAGAGATTGTATTTTTGTGTTTAAATCTATACTTTTTATTATTCAAACAGCTTTTTGTCCATCTTATCCTTCCTTTTATCTTTGTCATGGCCTAACTCTGTAGTTGTTCCAGATTCATGATGTTTCTATAGTAGACTTCTTATTCCAGTGAGCCTTTTAAGGGTGTCATCTTTATGAAACTGGCAGCAACAGTATTGTGAGCAAAATGGTGAGCAGGCAAGTGTGCAAGATTCATCAGATAGATGAGACTGAAGAATTGCTGAAAGAAACTGTTGGTTTTCTTGCCTGTATACAGGTGTAAGTAACATGGCATTTCGTCACCTAATTGAGTTCACCTATACAGCAAAGCTAATGGTCCAAGGTGAGGAAGAAGCAAATGATGTTTGGAAAGCAGCTGAGTATCTACAGATGTTAGAAGCAATCAAAGCACTTGAAATCAGGTGAGCGCATAGCCTCTTTTTCTTCCCAACACTGAAATGTGGAGTCACAAGAATCCCTTTACAAGATCTGGCTGCCAGTATTTTGCAGTGCTGTTCCTTATCCTGAAACCTCCTAAACTTGTGTGGGACCATATACTCTTCTACTATAAGATATGGGTCAGAGTTATCCAGGCTAAAAAATTAATGTCACATTCTTTGGGCTGGAACTCAATGACAAGTGACATGGCTGGTAAATGTTGCAGACATTGTAGGGCTGTGACTTTGTGGTAACTAATACCAGGTCTCTGTGCTATCTGACTGCCCACACCTGATTGAGAGCTGGGTGTACAGTGACAATGTGCCTCAGGTAATTAGACCACACTGACAAGCTTGTGCTGGTGTTTTGATTTCATGCAGCTTTCTGCTATTTCTGAGAGAGTAAGCAGTGATCTTAAAACTTCTTGCTGCAAAATTAACTTCTCAAACTTCTTGAATGAATTAACTGTTATAATCGGTTTTATATGGGATCAATACTTAATCAAATGTTGCTCTGGCACCTTTTATCCAGTACCAGGAACTGTACTCCATCGCCAAACTCCAACCTGAGAAAAGCAGGTGTCAGTCCCATCATGCTGTTTTTCATCCCCTTCCTTCCCTTTCATTGTCACAAAGTGCTGTCACTTTGTCATTCCTTTTTCATGCTACACTGTTCTGCCAGCATGAAGCAGAGGGAGGGGCAATAAATGCTCGCAGCATTATGGTTATTCTTGCTTTCTCTTCTAGACCTGCTGAAAGGTCTTTGCATTCAGGCCGAGGAAAGACTGTTGCTTCCTTTTTATCTCCCCATAGACACATTAGCCAAGGAGAGTGGCATTGGCCCCAAATTCCTCTAGTAGCCAGTTAACATTTTGTTTAAAAAAACCCTCCATGACATGATACACTGGAAACTTCGTTTTCAACATCAGCATTTATTTCCAAATTATCTTATTCTGTGGATTGGCAGTAAAGCTGAAGTATGTATTTTTTTTAATAGGAAAGATATGGGATTGTGCATTTCTAGTCCTACCCTCCAACCCCACAAACACCCTTTTTTGACATTATTAAGATTAAGCATGACCACCAAAAGAATTTTTTTTTTGGTTCAGGAAAAAAGCCAGACCTTAGCTGTCTGCTTGAGGAATTTAAAAGAAACGTGAAACTAAAAAAATATATTCTAATCAGTATCACTCTGAATCAGTGTACACCAATAGAGCTGCTAAACCAGGATTCAGATCCATTCATCAAGCTAAACTGTCCAGCCTGCAATTATTTCCCACTATTGTATAATGTTATGCAGTTTGTTGGTTATGCATCACTAGTAAACGCTGTAATTCTTACGTTACAAGGAAACAAATGTTTTGCTTAACGAACACACATGCAAGCCAATCTATTCTTAGAGTTATTTCCATTGTTCATAGATTTTGAAAAGTTTTTTGGGGGGATGTTGTTTGGTTTGGGTGTTTTTGGTTAGAAAGACAAACTTGAGTACCACTGTCAGTCTCTGTTTTCTCCACAGTAAGAGGGGGAAGAATTGCAATACAGTGCCTCAGTCAGAGCTTTGACTGAAAGGGGTAAGCTTCAGAAACTTCAGCTGAAGTAGAGATGATTATAGAACTAACTATTTGTATAAGGCATCGAGGAGTTGCACATCTCAAAATCTAGACTAGAAAAAAAACAACCAGCTGTTATTCATTAAAGTGCAGTTGTGTTGTATGTGTGTACCCCCATTCAAAGTTTCACACCACGTGGTCAAGGACGGTAGTCTCCTCTTTGCTGAGCAGATTATTCTTTTGGTACGTGATCCTAGCGCTCCTTGCAGTAATGTGCAAAGTAACTGTCGCCTTCTAGACATCAGAAATCCAGGCTAGATGAAACTGTAAGTTTAGCTGCTCTGTCTTCCTGTGTCTGAATAGAGTAAGGAGCAATTTAATAAGCTATATCCTGCATTAGATCATTAGCCACACATCTCTGACATATGACTTACAGATACTGGGCGAAGCCTTATCTCTCCTATTACTAGAAAACGTCAAAGTGATAGGGAGTAGATTATGTGAAAGGATTCATCAGGCTGCAAAGGAAGGTAAAAGCACAGCTTACTCCTGTCAGTCTGATTTGAGGGGAAGATAGCCACTCATTTTCGAAAACTGATAATTGGCAGTAAAACCTCCAGCACTTAAGTGGTGCGGATGATCTTGAGGGTGTGACTTGAAAGCATTGGCCCACTCAGCTCTGTCTGTGTTTGAGATAGCATACTGTCCCTGACATCTTGGAGGAAGGGGGTTGTGTGTGTATGATGCAGGGAGAACAGTAACAGAGCTGGGGGTTGTGTTTAAGCCCAGAAAATTAAACTAGAATACTCTTTCCGCATCCCAGTGGCTTTTATTTTTACCTCGGCTGTTAGCTGTGTGCTTTCCTGAAGTACGAGATGTTATAATAATCATTGTGTGACATCACAGCTGTAGTGTTTTTCTAACAAGCTGTAAGCGCTGCAGGCAATTGCTCACACTCCAGAGCTTAAGAGGTGAGTAGCGTAGGAAGGACTTGAATCTTATTTCTGAGTAGGCAGGCCAAAGAACTCCTTCCTTCAGGGAAGTTTTCTTTCCAAGTACAGGATTTCACAAGTTTCTTAGATAAACCTATGTCATTATGTTAACTGGCCTTTCTTCTTGATAGGTGCTTTATATCATTCAAGCAGAGCTATTTAAAACACTTTAGTAGCCTTATATCAAAGGTTCTGCAGCTTTAACCATGCTATTTTACAGCTCTAAGGAGCATAGATTAAGGACAAATTAGCTTTTGATATGCACACAGATTAGGTGGTCATTCATCATTCAGCTTCTTTGAGAAACAGCTAGAGAGTGTTGGATGCAGAAGCTCAGTATTAGGCAGGAATTGTTATGTCTGCTTATGGATCATAACCATGTTTATGCAAATGCTTTACAGGAACAAAGAAAATTCATCACCCTTAGAATCAAATCAAGCACAAGGTAAAAATAAACCAAAAAAGAGGAAGATAGCTGAAACCTCTAATGTTATCACAGAAACACTGCCGTCTGCAGAATCGGAGCCTGTTGAAATTGAGGTTGAGATTGCTGAAGGGACAATTGAAGTGGAAGATGACAGCATTGAAACACTTGAAGAAGTGGCTTCTGCAGAGCAATCCATAAAGTACATTCAGACAACAGGTACATCAGATGAATCTGCTTTGGCTCTTTTGGCAGATATCACCAGCAAGTATCGTCAGGGAGAGAGAAAATGCCAGATCCAAGAAGAAGGTGATAGTGCAACTGATCCCTCGTGCAAACAGGTAGAAGGTATTGAAATTGTGGAACTTCAGCTGTCACACGTGAACAATTTATTCCACTGTGAGAAATGTAACCGTTCGTTTAAATTGTTTTACCATTTTAAGGAACACATGAAAACACACTCTACTGAGAGTTACAAGTGTGACATATGCAATAAAAGGTACCTACGAGAGAGTGCTTTGAAACAGCACCTCACCTGTTACCACCTTGATGAAGGTGGTGCCAGCAAGAAGCAAAGACCTGGCAAAAAAATACATATATGCCAGTACTGTGATAAGCAGTTTGACCACTTTGGACATTTTAAAGAGCATCTCCGGAAGCACACAGGTAAGAGCACTGCTATAGTCCTGTCTTTGTGGCCTTGCCTCTAGCATTTTGGGTTTTTGCATGTTTTGGGGAAATAAAGAATGTGCTGAAAAGAACATGAGTCCTGAGTGCTAGAAATACTTGGCTTCTAGGTACAACTAAAATGCTGATTTATCTTTTTGTTTGTTCATTTGTTTTGTTTTACATTGATGTAAACTTTTGCGGGATTGAGGTGGTTAAAAATAGGTACCTAAAACCAGAAAGCACTAATGAAGCTTCTCTCTCAAGTCTATTAAATCTTAAAGATTTTTTCAAAATCATTTCTTAAGGCATGTTTCCTCCTTCAAAAGTACCAAACTGGGGAGCTACTTTTATTTTCACAATTCTACTAGTAAATGTTTCTGTTGAAATATGATCCGAACTGTGAGCTTCCCAGTGGAATACAGTTTAGAGGGTTTCTTTATCTAACAGAACTTCTGAGCAAATGCCTATCAATGCATTAGGCATAAAATACCCCCTAACAATTCTCTCTTGTACCATCTTGTTTGGAAAGTTTCACCCTTGCTTTTGACATCTCATCTATGATTTGATTTTTCTTTGTTAATTAAAACAGCAAAACATTTCTAGTGACTATAGTACACTTTTTTTACTGTGAAATCTGCCTCTTTGAAATCTGGATAGCATCTTTTGAGTACAAAATGACTTGTGCTCCTTCTTTCTTCTTTATAATATGGGAGGTTAAGATGCTACTTCTTCATCTCACTGAAAAGTCTACTATCTGAACAGGTACTGAGCATTATACAGATAACTCTGAATGTAAAATATATGTGGTCCTGATCTTCCAGATGTTTTTGTTTAATATGTCAGTCATGAGTCATCAGTAAGAATTAAATGGAGGGTAGCAGCCCTATTTCTTTCGCAGCTTCTTATTGTTGTTAAAGCCTTTTAAGTCTAATTTCTTTGTATCTGTGTGTGGGACTGCTGAGTATTGATATATGACACTGTGTCCAGTCTATTCCCAAAAGCCCTTTAAAAGTTCTGTTTATAAACAGTCTTCGGCAAATCCTTATCCTCTATGAAGCAGGGAGTGTTTCTCCACTATGAGCAATCCAAATACCAGCTACTTAACAAAAGTCTTTTCAGAGAAAAGTTTGTGGCAGGTTAGCAGAGTAACCCAAATATCACAATATGTTGGTTGCTGTTGCGACGAAGAATTTTGGGGACAAAGCAACTTAGCATATCACAGGAGGTACAGAGTACTTTCTAAATATATATTGATAGAACAAGTATAATGCATGAAATCTAATTACTTCAGGTTTAGCATTTTCAAAAGCCTTAAGCTTAAAATCAAAACAGATACTACCATTTAACCGTGGTCTCCTAAGGTGAGTGGAAAAACTCCCATTCAGCCAAAGGCTTTCTAAGTTCTGAATTCTGTATAGCACTGGTTGAATGCTAAAATGGAATTAAAAGGCCTGGGAGAAAATGTCCTACAAAGTATTTGATCCTGTTGCTGCTTAATCACAACACCAGCAATAACATGAAAATAGCAATTGGGAGAGAAATAGACACCTTATCAGGGTTGGTAATTCTTTTTGATGTAGAAATTTGACATTACCAATGGCTATTATTTTTGTTGCAGTAAAAGGAAGGAAGGAGATCCACGGAGTTTCTTTCTCACTCATGCATACAGTGCCTTAAGCAGCTTCTGAGTCTCTGAAAAAATACCTCAGAAATGTCTTGCATGTCATGTAACTCTGAAAGTATTAACAAAGTCATCTCCAGAACTTATAAAGAGGGAGGGGGTTTGGTCTGATCTAATTACTATCTTTTTCCCCATTATGAGAATGGATGAGATTTCACTTGCCAATCGTAAGTAACACACAGGACAGAAATTCTGCAAGGCCTGACTTAAGTAACATATACCCATTGAGTTCAATAGCTCTAATTTGTCTTACACAGAAAGAGCAATTTCCTCATACAGGAAATTAGTCTTGGAATGAAGCTACTGCTCTCAATATGCTGGTCTAATCCTGATATTTTGCAAAGCTGATGTTCCCTAGCAGAAAGAGACACTGAACAGCTTTGATTCCCTCAGATTTTACTGGAAATTTTGACTGCTGAATATTTCTCAAAGTTAGGCCTTCTTGATTTTTTTTTCTTTTTTTTCTTTTTATGGAGAGTGTGTGTGTGTGCTCACATGAGCGAAGGTGTAAGTGAAGGAGTCGTGATGTGCTCCAAGCAGCCAAATTAATCTGCCCTTGTCTGAAAACCCTGTAACTGATGTAATTTGTATACAAACTTTGCAGGAAAAATTAATCAAGGTTTTTGCCATTCTTGGTAAGTCTAAAATATGTTTTACAGGAAGTGTACTTTGAACTGCAAATAACATCTTCCATAGGAGTGAATAAACAGACTCTATTTACGTACCTTGAAGAAACGATCCCAAGAAGTTCATGTGATAAACACCTGCCTTTGGTGTGTTTGTGGAAAAAAATAATAACTGGGTTTACTATTTCTCACTAAACCAAATCTAAATAATGATATGGTAACTTTATGGTTATGGTTGAATTCCCTGGTATTTCTTACATATTAGGCAAATAAAAGTCACTGTGTTAGTTGTTTCTTTGGGTTAAAAAATATTTATTTGGGGAAGTCTCCTTCCTGTGACTGTCGGATTATAAAGGACCAGCACAATATTTGACTATCTCTGGTCAGAATTTCTGTCCTGTGAGTTGCTTACGATTGGCAAGTGAAATCTCATCCATTCTCATAAAGGGAGAAAAAGCTAATCATTAGATCAGGCCAAAAACCTCCCTCTTCGTAAAGTCTCATTTAGATGAGACTAAACTCATAGTTGGATGACATGTGGGGGAGGAGAAGCAAGTTGTCACCTTTAGCAGAGGAGTTTAGCCCCCAGCTTGCTAGTGTGTTTCTCAGAGAAGAAAGAGGAGAGAAGACAGCTGGCATGCTTTCTGTTTTCCATCACTGCTGTGACGGTGCAGCCCAGGTCACAGCGTTGATTTGCACTGTGCAAGAAGTCACACAATGTCTTTTGGCCTTTGGATATTGCCACCATTATCTTTGAATTGTCACTTTCAGACACTTTTGGCGGAATATGTTGGAGATCACTGAAGAATTCGAGTAACAATAGAATAAATCTATCCTTGACTGGTGCCTTGCTCCAAGTAACTAAATGTGACCAGATCACAGGACAGGTGAAGGTCTGTGGTGTGAGTTTTGCTCTGTAGTATCCACTGGTTGCTTGGGCAAAGTCCATGAGTTTTGACCTGCAAGACTGATGGCAGTTCAGTATCCTCTGCATTACTGGTACAACAGTCTCCAAAAACATAGCATTTTGTAACCATTAAGGGGAATGTTCCCATCATTAAACTTTTTTCTGTAGCCTTTAGGTGTGTGAGAATTATAGGCTACTTGTGGATTTCTTTTGAAAAGCTAATTGGGAACTTCTGAATATCTTTATTTCTGAAAATACAGGTTTATTGGCTTTCCATCTCAATAGTCAATAACTACTGCATTCCTGAAAATGCAGGCTTTTAAACTAGCTAGGATAGATTCTTATGTTATTCACTGAAATGTCTCAGCCTCTTCTGGAGTTCAGTAAGCCGTTTGTTTCATTAGTGATGTTGGTGTCAGTATCTCTGCAGATAATTATCAGACTTTCAGAAGAAACACACTGTTCCCAATTTTTTGTACTTTAATTTCCTTGAATTTCATTGTGTTTGTGCATGGTGAAATTAGTAAACAGAGACACCAGTTGTTCTTTGTTACTACTTGATGACAAGTAACAACAATATACTACTTGGGATGAAAAAAGAGAAAACTACCTGTTTTCAGCCTCCCCTGCTGTTGTCCTTAGCTGGCTCCTGTGTTTGGTACCAGGTTTGAAATGAAGTAGCCAAACTGAAAGGAATTTTTATCTTCCTTGTGCCCATTTATGTCCCTCTGTGCTTTCTCTTCAGCGTATTTTTTGGGGGAGGGGGTGTTATTTGTTTTAATACTGATGCATTGTTATTTCGTGGTCATTCTGTGCCAGCTTCTTTTTCTGGAGCCCAGTTTCAGCTCTCAAGCATAAGCTGTTATTGTTCTTGAAAATAAAACTTTGTATTATTTAAATACTTCCTTCTTCAAAGTGTCACTTTGTATATTTACTAATGTTGATTCTTTAATTGTAAGTATTATCAGACAAAAAGAGAGAAATAGCTGCTATTTCTTTAAGATATTTCATCAGAATAGTAATCAAATTTCCATAAAAACCTAAATGTACCTTAAATGGCACTAGTAATTGTTACATTGTTTTATTTCTAAATGAAAGTTATGAGTCCACATTAAGTTTTTGCCCTTTTATTTACATAAATAAAGTTTACATAGAATGTCTTTCTCTTCTTCTGTAGAATCATCCAGTTGGCCACGTCTTTACAGAATATTTATCAACCTACACAAAAGGGAGAGGGGAAGAAGAGAGAGCTGACAGAAAACTGGCTGGTTTATACACTTACAAATCCCTGTATCTGTCTTAACAGGTGAAAAACCATTTGAATGTCCAAACTGCCATGAACGTTTTGCTAGGAATAGCACGCTCAAATGTCACCTGACAGCCTGCCAGTCTGGAGCTGGAGCTAAAAAGGGAAGAAAGAAACTGTACGAATGTCAGGTGGGTAATGGAAGTAGCAAAGCCTGAGGCTAGATACCTCCTTCCTGTGCTGAGGGAGTGTGGGAATACTGAGCAGGAGAGGCAACAAGAGTGGGCTTATGTCTCCGAGAGCTACTTTTAGTAAAATAAATATAAGGATCGCATTCAACCACAACATGTAGATAAATTCTTATATCTAAGTAGTTCCATTTAAAATATGGAATTACTGATATGGAGCCTCATAATACTTATAATCAGAGAGTTTCTTATGGGTAGGTAAGTGTTCATCTGCATTTTACTGATCTTCCTGCCTCCTTTTTAAGGTTCTTGATGCACTGACCTAGGCCTTTCCCACTTGTGAGCATGCTTCACTAAAGTCCAAAATACAAAGTACTGTTTTATTTCCTATTTTATTATTCTTTTCTTTGATACCCAATATATTGACTTTGTCTGGAAAGTCATTCCAGCTTACCATGACAATCTGTAATGTCTTTTAAGCAAATATAAATGCTGTAAATGGATGGCTAGGGTACTTGGTCACTATGTGTAACTGACATTTGAAAAGCTGTTCAGATAAATGTTACCTAGCTTTTAAAAGCTGAATCTGAAAAGCTAGAAAATACAAGAGGTTGGTTGTAGCATTTTATTTGCCATTTTGCTGCCCCACTGCTGTCACAGTCTCAAAAAAGAACACACTACTTTTTTCTCTCTCTCTCATGTGCTTGCTCACTTTCACTTTTTTGTGCTCACTCTTTCTCGTGCTTTCTCATGCTCTTGCTCTCTCTTTCCCTCGCCCTTGCGCTCTCACTCGTGCTCTCGCCCGCTCTTCTTCTTTTTCTCTCCCTCTCTCTCTCCGCCCTCCCCCCCCCCCCCCCCACGCCCCCTCCCTATATTGC